TTTGGCATGGGAGTTTAAAACCCATCCCCAAATACTCACCCGATAGCTCGGCTCTCCCGAGTCCCAGCCAAATCCTGACTTTGGGCTCATTGAAAGAATGAAAAAATAAAACCACAATGTGGGAACAGAGCCATCGCCATGACCTTTCAATCCAAGAGCGTTTGCAAAATACTACTCAGTGGCTTGTTTTGAAATAGTTGGTATATTCTTACACTGGGCATGTAACGAAAGACAGTTTTATGCTGTCTAGTGCTTAGTCTGTAGCCATCTCTTTAAACGTGTTTTACACAAGTTATTTATTGACTGTTTGAAGGAGTACTTAAACTCTGGGATCAAGGGCAAAGTGATGCAAATTCAGTAGGAACCATGGGCCAAAATATAGATTTAGCTCGTTCATGGGGGTTCATTGATGTCTGCAGGGTGGTAGGAGCCTGTTAGGTCCTTACTGCTGTTGCCTGGTCCAGTCCTCCATGGTGGAAATTGCCCTCTTGGCAACTAAGTGCCAGGAGCACTGAGAGCCAGGTGCCGGATAAAAGTCTGTGCAACTTTGGTGGCACTTGTTGAGCCAGGCTGAAGTACGACGGGTGAATTCTGCAGGAGAGAAAGCGCCCTTCAGCCTCACAGCGGGCTGCCCGTGCAATTTGTGTTTCAGAATGGATGAGAACTACATCCTCCTGCCACACGGAGTCAACTTCCAGGAGGCAATTTTCCCAGACACCCAGGAGAACAGAAGGATGTTTGCCAGCCTTTTCCAGTTTTCTAACTGCTCACAGGCGCAGCATGTGTTGAGCTTCTCCAGTGACTGGGAGATTCAAGAGGACAACCGGGTAAGGGATTTATTTGCTCTCCAGTGCTTGTTTTCTAAGTGGGCACAGGCATTCCCATGTCGTTTGCAGATGTATATGTGTGAATGCAGAGCAGCAGGTCCCTGTTTTTCCTGGTTCTTCGGTGGTATCACTGGCAAAGTAACACACTGGTGGGGAGAGGTTAAAGTCTGTTTTCAAAGCTGACCTCTGTATTAGCTCTTCAGCTTCCCGTGGACCTGAGCAAAGCTTGGTATCAACCTGTTCACAAGCAACAGGTTGGAAACCAGTATTGCTTGCGATCCTGTCCTACTCCACCCAGGTCGTTCTGGGGTTTGCTCTCTCTAGACCCCATACTTTAACTTCAGCTGAAATATTCAGGAGCAGAGCTTTGCTTTTTTACTTCTGTGTTCATCTCATGTAGTGAGAGCAGTGCCTGGACCATGGCAGACTGTAAGGATTTATTCTTGCCTAATTCCACACAACAGCAAAAAACATCTGCTTCTGAACTAATCACCCTAAGCTGTCTTTGTAGCAGCCAGGGAAAAATAGACTCTTGAGGGCACGGTTTGTCTGAGCAATGAGGGCATGGTTCATCTGAGCGACGCCAGCACCTACTTCTGAACAAGCTGAATGAAATGCCTCTTTCTCCTCTCAAGGGAGGCCACAGCAAGTAGTTCACCTGCTAGGCAATTGTCCCTTAAGAAAGTACATTTTTAGTATGGAAAGTCCAACGATGCCGGTTGTTAGTGGCTTCTGAGCCCCTTTACAGGGCTGTAATAGGTGTAATAAATGCAGGATTTTAATAAATACTTCCTTGGCAGCGAGGAGCAACCTGCAGTTGTGTGCATGTTCTGGATGTGCATATACATTTGCAAAGGTGGAACTTGAAGAGCTGTGTTAGTGCCAAACCTTGTTTTGTGAGGCTAGTGGTTTCCACTGGTAGCTGAGAACATTTTAAGCGTCTCTTTAGGTCAGGATGGACAGGACTCGTGTCATCACTTGCGTCTTCTGTGGATTCATCCAAGGCACAATGTTTATGTACGGCAGCAGATGCACTAGTGGCTTGTTTGGAGATGGAGGGAGGGAGCTCGGTAGCTGGCTGAGCCCTTTCCCTTCACCAGCTGGCCGACCACCGGCATACAACGTTTGAGTTGCTGCGTGGCCATCTGACACAACACCACTCCTTGGGATGCCCTGTGAGCGAGCGTTTTCCCATTGCTGATATTTTGGGGAGGGATTGGGGAACGGTGACATTCAAATATGTATTTAGTGATAGCAACAGAAATTGATATTTAAGAAAAAATTAATTATCTTACAACTAGATCGCAGAGCTGTAACCCTGGCTGGGCAAGAAGGGGGAGGTGTAGAGCCCCAGTCCCAGCCCTGCCTCCTCCCTGCCAGCCCGCAGGCTCCCCAGTGCTCCAAGCAATGTATTTGGCAAGTAAAGGCACTGCTACTGCCAAATCCACAGATTTTGCTCTGGGGGAGCAAAGTGGCATTGGGGGACCACCAGATTCAACTCCCAGTGTCTGCTTGTGATGCTTCTGCACTGTTTATTTATCTGTGCTGAGCTAAATGTAGGGGATCTTGATGGGTTGGTGGTCGTTTATGCCAGCAGTGGATCTCACCGGTTAGCTCTAATGGAAATCGCAAGGCAGAAACAGGCAGGGTAAGTTGGGGCAACCGAAGGCGTATGTATCAAAAGTGCATTTCAGCTGTTGTGCTCTTTGACCCCATGCAGCTGTGAGCAGATTAGGGGCGGATTAGAGCTGCTGGTTGCACAGACTGGGGCTGGGGGCTTTACATACTTCAACACCCACCCATCGAGTGAATAAATTCAGCGCAACTGATGGACACTTTGTCTCCCCTTTGTAATGAAAAGTAAAAGCTTCCTCTGCACCAGTTAAAAATAGTTCAGGCTGACTGTGCTCCTATTCAGATCCTGCATCTGTGTTTGCCCAGCCGAGTGCCGGCTCCTGGCGCCTGTGTGCCTCAGCCTGGGAAGGGGATGGTGTTTCTGGCTGCCACGGTGTTAGGAATTTGTTTCCCAGCTCTTCCCAATGCAAGTGCCCATGTCCAGGGTGCGGCTCTCTTTAGTGTTTTGCTCCTTTCTTTGCCTTGTCACATCTGATGGTGACTTTCCCAGTTGCCACCATGTCTGCTCGCATCCCATCACAGTGCAAACAATTTTCATTTCCAACTGCACTCGTTTGAGCTGTCCCATGCTGGCTCCTGAGCTGAAACCCGTGGTATGTGCTGGCTTTGTGGCACAGAAAGTGAGCATTACTTGGTGCATTATTCTGGAAGCTTTTTGGAAAAAAGGCTCTTAGGGAGCCTGGGGACAACTGCAATGATGTCAAGCTGTAAAGAACCTAGACAAAGAGTAAAGGGTCTTCTGATGAGGCTCACACTGCAGTGAGGAGTCAGGGGGTCTCACTAGCTGCTGCATACTGACAGAAATTGCTAGTTAAAATCCATCATGGAAGTTTTGTGCAGTCAGAGGGAAGAGATGGAGACGCTGAGATCCTCAGAGCAGAAGGCATCTGGGGCAAAGGTCTGGTGCTAGGAGGTAGTAGCTAAGGTTCTGCCTCTGATTCTTGGGACAGCTGTGTGCAGGGACATCTTAAAAAGCGGCTCTTTCAAAAACCAGCATGCTCAAGTGGGTTTGGAATAAAGGAGTGATGGACTCTCCTGTTTACAGCTGGATCCTGTACTCCGAAAGACTTTTTGAATCCCTGTATTTGCTTATGGCCCTTTGCCCTACTCTTGATGGGGTGGACATTTTAAGGGAGAATTAGGTGCTGGAAGCATGTGCAGTTGCAATGAATAATTCGTCTTTGTAGCTCTGGGGTGCTCGGCCAGAAGGTGAGAGAGCCCTGCGATGGGTGAAAGTCTTTTGCCTCATGTAATGCTGCTCCCAGTGAGAGGTCCCTTCTGTGGGGTGTGCCTGAGCTGGCTGCGGAGCAGGGGTCCCAAAGGTGACCACTGACATGCCGTCCTCCTGCTCACCCTCTTCTCTCTGCAGTGCTCCTTGCATGCAGGCAGCCTTGTCTGGGCTGTCCCAGTGGGTGAAACAAGGAAAACCCTGACAGCTCCTTCTCCTCCTCCCAGCAAATGTGTCTGATGATGCAAAAGAGAGCAGAGAGGTGTGCAGGAACTTCTCGATGCACTGGGATGCCACAGCCTATCTTTTCTGTCGCAGGAAAACCCTTTTAATTTTCGGAAAGCCCCGTGGTGCATGGTGAAAGGAGGCCAGACCCAAGGCACATCTCATTGGGGATAATGCATTCCTCATCCTGGGCCTGCTGCTGTCGCTGGAAGGTAATTCCAGCTGTGTTTTTAAGCCCCTTGCCATCCGGGCTGAGGGCCAGACACTGCTTTCCATAGTTTTCCAATAGCCCCACAGTCTCATAAATTCACTCAGGTGCTTGTTCTGGCCACTCTGGAGAGCAACGGTAGCTCTGGCTGGTGTTTCTTTAGGCATTTGCATTTGGGCTTCCAGGTTTGCAGAGGCAGTAATTAATCGGGCTTCATCCTGACTTTTCTCACAGCCCCTTAGTGATATTTGCAGACCTCCTGCTTCACTCTGGCTCGCTGTCACAGCGTTTTCTGCAAGGTTGTTGCTAAAACCCCGAGTTCCCACCAGGCTTGGGGTTGGAGCTGGGTTTGTAATGAGTGGCTGCAACTTCTTGCAGAGCAAGGGGCCCCTTCTTGCAGCATGTTGCAGGTACCTGGGTCCCAGGCTTGGCCCAGCCCCAGAGCTGATGTTGATGGAGATAATAACACAGGAATGCTCCTTTTTCCGCTTTGGAGTTACAGTTTTAGTCGATTCTTCCCACCCTCCACCCCTGGGAGAAATGCAGTATTCGCCTATCCAAGGAATCTTGCAGTCACAGCAGTTTCTTTTAATAAGGTGCTTTTATTAAAGAAAGGAACAATTAAGAAGTAATAAAAACCTAATTAAAATTCTTAAAAGCTCCATGTTTTTACCCAAGTCTCATGCTGACCCCCCAAGGGAAGACCCGCAGACATATCAGAGTTTGCAAAGTCTGACAGCCTCCTACGTGGGCATGCCAGGCTGTCCTGCAGCCTCTGGGTCACCCCTGCCTCGGGAAACCACCCCAGACACCTCTTTTCCTTTAGCCCTGCTTCCCTCAGTGCCCCTAAAATTGCTCACAACCCCCTGCATGCCACCCAGTTATTCTCCAGTGCAGCTGGTGTTTCATTACTGATGCTTTTAGGGAGCAGCCTTGCCACCTTTTCTTGCTTAAAAGGAGTCTGAGGGGTAAGACTTTTTTTTTGGCAGATGGGGATGAGCATTCAGCGGTGCAGCCAGCATCCTCCTCCAGGGATGGAGAGGGGGAACAGGAAAATCCTGAAGGCCTGGAGAGCATCTGTATGTGCCAGTGCCTCTTTCTCAAGACAAATTTTTCTTATGGCTAAGTGCTAAATGGCACTTTTCTACACTCAGGGGGTTGATTTCTGCTGGCTGAAGCTGGGAGGTGGGAATCGTCACTGCGGTTTCCTCCCTTTCGCAGTGCCTGCTGCTAAGCCTGGGGGTGATGCAGTGGGTTGGGATTAAAATCTTGCTCCCCTGCAGAGTTTTACCATTTTAGTGCAAATCTAGAGGCTGTAATTTCTTCTCCCAACTTGGCCTTCTGCAGGGTGGTGCAATCTTGTAAATAAGACCTTGTTGCCTTGTCTGCACATGAGAGATTACACTGAAGTTACTCGAAGTCTGGTGCTAATAAGGTCTGTAGAAGTATCTAACAGTGCTTGTTGTTATTTATTATTCAGACAGGTTTTAATTCCTGGTTTTCTCAACTGGTTGATAGGGAAATGTGGTCTTTTGGCCTCCGTTCCAGCTTGCTGTGAGCTGCGGAGGTGCTCATGACCTGGTGCCATGTTGGTGCTTCTTTTACAGGGCTTCCCCTTTTTTTCACATGGGATGGTTGCAAGATGGTCCCGTGTGCATCATGAGGGAGTTAACAGCAGCATTTCAAAACAATCGTGAGCAACTG